GCAATGACACCGTCAATTGTAAAAAGTGGTTCGTCGAGCTAAACAGTCATGGTAGTATTTGGTTCCAGAGATACACGTGCTTGCATCAGTTTTCTCCGAGACAGCGCATGCAAGGATATGCGTTCCCAATGCCGCCATCCAACAAGGTTTGAAGCAGTAGCTGTCTTTTTCGCATGCAGCCTTCTATGAGAGTGCTATCCTCTGTGCTGATGAACGCTGCTCACGTTGGTTGACCGGATCAATCTCACTTCGTGTCCAATATTTAAACCGAGCCATAGCGCTATGGACTATGCGTAGCACTCTTCACGATACACTTGCACGCGTCGAAATGCCTATACGCCCGACTCATGTGCAACGTCGAGTTCGGGCTTATTCAATCGACCGCTCTGAAGCACAGCGTATCCTATCATCGTACGCGTACATCACCACGAGGTCAGTCTTGCTGGACATCGTAAGATGAAGCAGGTCTGATACGACAGGAGTGGGATTGCGCCAAACGTCCGTGTGTGTCCCTTGTCAAAAGATTGGGATTGCTCCCTTTGGCTTTCATGACAAGACCAGGTCGTGATACAAGCGACCACAACTGATCGAAATGATGTAGTCGTCGTCCTGAGCACAGACGGTCGTGAACAAAGCCGCTTCACGAGAAATGTTGCAACAAACAGCTACGTAATGTACGGAGCACCTTTTCATTTCGATAGCCGCACATGCAGCGAAAATGCCACTGCCACTGCGAAGAAACCGCGTGAGTACCAGTCATGGTTAGCAACGACATGACCCAAATGCACCACAAAAACGATCCTTCAGCAGCTACATACACCAGAAGCCGTCGTCTGACTGCCGCAGTCTGACATCGAGCACTAATGCTCTCCAAATGCGCAGCCATGACAACTGAGCCCGCTCGATCTTGCATGACGACGTGTCACCAGAACGCACTTGTGTGGTTAAGCCAACCGTTCCCTCAAACCACCTGTACCGGTCTTGGTGTGCTTAAAGCGTTCAGCCTTGAAGCCAGTCGTCATGAGATAACGTGGGAGTGGTGTCAGCATGAACACACAATGTGCTGTCCTGGAATCGCTTCCAAAGCACTCAACTCCTTCGTAACAGCAAGATGACAACACGAGCTCAGAGCAGACAAGCTCAGCCGGTCAATCGCTCGTGTTGACCTTCCTACAACGTCTGTGTCTCGTCATTTCTCGATCCGCTCGTACCCATCGACACCCTTCACCATTCCAACTTGACCCACGATCTCAGTTTCTCACGCACACACGATCACCACAGCAGTCAACAAGATGAAGTCCAACATATTGCAGCAGAACCTCCACATCGGCCGGCTCTGGTGAGTTCCATTCGTGCATTTATTCTCGCATCTCAATGGACTGAAATACGGATCCTCACTTGTCTGGTCACTTTTATGATGGACACTAGGCTATTCGCTACTGCATGTATCGCGCGCATCGTGTCGATGGTTTCAACCGCTACAAAGCGGTCCCTAGTCTACTGGTTCCCGAATGCGCGCATTTTTCGAATCATCCAGTGCGCTCGTTTTGCATGGGGTTTCTCGACGGTTCCATTCGCCGACACGTTTCAGTTGACCCGGTACGGTGCAAAAGTAGTCGCACCACGCACGATTTGTCGTCGAACCGCACAGATGATCGACAACTCGCTTTGTACATTGCAAGTCGAAGCGAACCAAGAACAAACCGACGTGATCGCTGATTCACTGCCGACATCTTGCGCTCTACCGAAGTGTGTATCCGGAAGAATTGATGACAGGCAAGCGTCCCCGTCAGCGGAATGCACTCGTTCGCCCTATGCTGTTGCGTTACCACTTCCGTCGCTATCGCGCGACAGTGCCAACCGTCTGGACGACAGCTATGACCTCCTCGCAAGTCAATGGACTCAAATGGTGACGGAGACACGACAATTCTACGCGCAGATTGCCAAGCTCCAGTCGTCGCTCGTGGGTCCCGACCCGAATCCATTCTGATCCAGGAGCCGTTTTGTGGTTGACAACGCACTGTTTGTTGCAAAATACTACTTCCTCGATATAATGCTTCCTCGAAATACTACAATCTCTTGTATGCATTGAGCCCGTCTCATTCGATCGTACATTCACATGCTGCTATCCACCAACATCTGCGAGCACTTCCACTAGTGCACGTGGCCCTTTAACGGCGAAGCGGCTGGCATTCCAACTCGTGACCTTCGGCTCGATTTTCTTCTGGACCTACTCTCACTCCGCGATACCCGTGGCTGTGATGACGCTGGCCAGAAACATGCAATCAACGTCCGAGTCCTTCTGACTGTCCGAGTCTGCCACTTGTTTCATTCTGAGGATTGCGACTGCGTCCCGGCATTGCTAGTATCCGTCATGCCTTGCTAGTATCCGTCATGCCTATCGAGGGGAGAAATAGAGACGCGTTGCTGTTCAAACTCATCGTGAGTGCAATGTGTGTTGGGACGTTCATTCGTTCTGGACTTGACGTGTTCTGTTGCCTTGATGTGTATCTGCAGCAAAAACTCTCGCGCACAGTTTACTTGGTATAGATGTTTGACGCACATCATCGCGCATCCGGCATTTACATGGTTAACAGCTCTTTGGATCTACCCTCGACCTCACTTCATCGTCGTCCGCGTGTCTTACGCGGCCCTGCGCTGATCCCGATTGGCACCACATGGACGTATGTCAAGAGGTCGTGCAGCAAAGCAGCTCAATCTGACAGTCGTCTCCGCTACGGCAACAGACTTCGCAACTGTCTGGTGATGATGCGCGCACCCAGCTTGCTCGATTGCAAAGTGGTTAGGCCATGCAGCCATGGTGATATTTGGCTCCGGAGATGCACGTGCTTGCGTCAGTTTTCTCCGAGACAGCGCATGCACGAATATGCGTTTCCAGTGCCGCCATGCAACAAGGTCTGAAGCATGAGCTGTCCTTTTCGCATGCAGCCTTCTGTGAGAGTGTTATCCTCTGTGTTGATGAACGCTGCTCACGATGGTTGACCGGATCAATCTCACTTCGTGTCCAATCTTTAAACCGAGCCATAGCGCTATGGACTATGCGTAGCACTCTTCACGATACACTTGCACGCGTCGAAATGCCTATACGCCCGACTCATGTGCAACGTCGAGTTCGGGCTTATTCAATCGACCGCTCTGAAGCACAGCGTATCCTATCATCGTACGCGTACACCACCACGAGGTCAGTCTTGCTGGACATCGTAAGATGAAGCAGGTCTGATACGACAGGAGTGGGATTGCGCCAAACGTCCGTGTGTGTCCCTTGTCAAAAGATTGGGATTGCTCCCTTTGGCTTTCATGACAAGACCAGGTCGTGATACAAGCGACCACAACTGATCGAAATGATGTAGTCGTCGTCCTGAGCACAGACGGTCGTGAACGAAGCCGCTTCACGAGAAATGTTGCAACAAACAGCTACGTAATGTACGGAGCACCTTTTCATTTCGATAGCCGCACATGCAGCGAAAATGCCACTGTCACTGCGAAGAAACCGCGTGAGTAACAGTCCTGGTCAACAACGACATGACCCAAATGCACCACAAAAACGATCCTTCAGCAGCTACATACACCAGAAGCCGTCGTCTGACTGCCGCAGTCTGACATAGAGTACTAATGCTCTCCAAATGCGCAGCCATGACAACCGATCCCGCTCGATCTTGCATGACGACGTGTCACCAGTATGCACTTGTGTGGTTGCGCTGACTGTTGCCACAAACCATCTGTACTGGTCTTGGTGTGCTCAAAGCGTTTCAGCCTTGAAGCCAGTCGTCGCGAGATAAAATGGGAATGGTCTCAGCATGAACACACAATGTGCGGTCCTGGAATCGCTTCCAAAGTACTCAACTCCTTCACACCAGCTAGGTAACAATACAAGCTCCGAGCAGACAAGCTCAGCCGGTCAATCGCTCGTGTTGACCTTCCAACAACGTCTGTGTCTCGTCATTTCTCGATCCGCTCGTACCCATCGACACCCTTCACCATTCCAACTTGACCCACGATCTCAGTTTCTCACGCACACACGATCACCACAGCAGTCAACAAGATGAAGTCCAACATATTGCAGCAGAACCTCCACATCGGCCGGCTCTGGTGAGTTCCATTCGTGCATTTATTCTCGCATCTCAATGGACTGAAATACGGATCCTCACTTGTCTGGTCACTTTTATGATGGACACTAGGCTATTCGCTACTGCATGTATCGCGCGCATCGTGTCGATGGTTTCAACTGCTACAAAGCGGTCCCTAGTCTACTGGTTCCCGAATGCGCACATCTCTCGAATCGCCCAGTGCGCTCGTTTTGCATGGGGTTTCTCGACGGTTCCATTCGTCGACATGTTTCAGTTGATCCGGTACGGTGCAAAAGTAGTCGCACCACGCACGATTTGTCGTCGAACCGCACAGACGATGGACAACTCGCTTTGCATATTGCCGGTCGCAGCGAACCAAGAACAAACCGACGTGATCGCGTTCTCGCTGCCGACATCTTGCGCTCTACCGAAGTGTGTATCCGGAAGAATTGATGACAGGCAAGCGTCCCCGTCAGCGGAATGCACTCGTTCGCCCTATGCTGTTGCGTTACCACTTCCGTCGCTATCGCGCGACAGTGCCAACCGTCTGGACGACAGCTATGACCTCCTCGCAAGTCAATGGACTCAAATGGTGACGGAGACACGACAATTCTACGCGCAGATTGCCAAGCTCCAGTCGTCGCTCGTGGGTCCCGTTTTGACTTTTGGCAACAGCCAAGAGCGAGTTGAGGTGGGAGAGCTTAGAAGAAGGTAAAATGGAAAGTGAATTATCATCTAGCTAGGTCCTTAGTTCGTCTCGTTGTACTACTCTAAGCCTATCGATATCGACTCTATAATATTAGTAACAAAACGATGAGTCGATCCCATCGTTACACACTATCACACAGTGTCGTCCATGACATATGGTCATTAGTATCAGTAACCAACACCGTTACCAATACTCCCCCTCGACTAGAAGTCTCTGATCCTGGCCTTGTCCAGCAGCGACTCGAACTTCTTTGTCGAAATCGGTTTGGTCAGAAAATCTGCCAGCTGTGACTTGGTTTCAGTATACTGCAGGTCGATAATCTTGTCTTTCACCTGTTCGCGCACAAAATGGTATCTGATGTCGATATGTTTCGCTCGACTTTGATAGCCGTCGTTCTTAGCGATAGCGATTGCACTCTGGTTGTCTTCGTGAATCTTGACAGCATAGTTAATCTGCACTTGCATCTCCTTGAGTAGACTTCTTGTCCACAGAACCTCCTGCACACATAAAGAAAGAGCCATATACTCTGCTTCTGCCGTGCTCAGTGCCACGCTCTGCTGCATCTTCGACTTGAAAATCACAGGTGCGCCATTAATCATGATAAAAACTCCCGAAATCGATCTGCGATTCCACTTGTTACTTGCCCAGTCTGCATCGGTGTACGCGCTCAGCTGAAGATTGCCTGAAACTCCTTCATAACAAATTCCTTTGCTCTGCGTCGTCTTCAGATATCGCAACACTCGAATCGCTGCATTCCAGTGCTCTTCATGTGGAAATTCCAAATGACGACTCAGCTGACATACTGTATACGCAATATCTGGTCGTGTGCCTGTTGCCACATACAACAACGACCCCACTAACGATCGATACGGTCGATTCTTCATTCTTGTGTCAGCTTTGTCCATCTTGACCATCGCTTGCCCTTCAACACTTGGATTTGACACTGCTTTCGCATCAACTTGATTAAATTTCTCGACCATTCTTGATATACACGATCCTTGACTGATCTTCAGACGTCGATTGTTGCGCAGGTACTTGACTTCGATTCCAAGAACGTATCGAACACCCCTAGTATCTTCAACTGGAAACGACTTGATAGTTGAGCTGCCACATCTTCCATCACTCCAGTAGATTCAGCCCCAATTAGAAGGTCGTCCACATATAATGCAGCGTAAATCCACGAGCCCTTGGTCTCTTTGACGAAAATGCATGAGTCTGCCACGCATGAAGAGAACCCCATCTCCACAAACACACACGAAATTGTCTTGTACCATGTAGCGGCCGCTTGTTTCAGCCCATACAGACTGCGATTCAGCTTAAGCACTTGATTATGTTCTGCACGAACACCCAGAGGAGGGTATACGTATACCTCTTCTTCCAAAACGCCATACAGAAAAGCAGTGTCGACATCATATTGATGAATCAACATCCCCTTTTGACAGCACACCGCCAAAAACACCCGTATTGAGTTGAGGTTTGCCACAGGTGAATATGTCTCCATGTAGTCAACTCCATACGTCTGCCTGTAGCCAAGTGCTACAAGACGTGCCTGGTATCGAATAATCTCACCCAGCTCGTTTCGTTTGAGTGCGAACACCCACTTGGTTCCAATCACTTTCTGGTTTGGACGCTGTGTTTGAACAGTCCAGGTGTCCTTTTCCTCTAATGCCTTGAGCTCAGCTTGAATGGCCTTGTACCAATTATCACGACGAGGTGACTTAAGAGCTTCTTCGTATGTCGTTGGGGTCTCGAACGCTGCACATGCTTGCTCATACCCAATACGTAGTCTCTTTGTGCCTTTTTCTTGACACACTTCTGAGCCGTCATAAAAGTCCTCATCAGCACCATTCACTGGTATTAACGCTTGAGATTGTCCATGTTGAACCGATTCTAGTGGAACCATCGCGGTTTCTTGCGATGCTTGAATACTTGTCTGTCGACTTGGTCGTATCACCATCTGTCCTTGTCTTGACACGTCTTCAGCCGATTCTTGATCTTCTTCAATCATCGTCACATCATCAATTTCAAACATTGGATCGTCAGCATTGGAACCCACGTGTTCAGGCATCTTGCTACTGCATCTTGATGGTAGAGCCATCGTTGTTGTACGCCTGTCTTGCATGTGACTCTCTTCTTGAACACTGTGACTGTCCTCCATTGCTATGTCCATGTCTTTCGTGACTCGTGGCTGTTCTAAATCGATAGAAACAGTGTCTTCGTCATGAACAGCGCGAAACTCTTGGTCACTTGATCTGCTGTAACGTTGCACGTACTGAAGTGGTGGTCTCTCATCGAATTTAGCCGATCTCGTGTGCGTCACCCTCTTGGCATCTTCATCCCATATTCGAAGCCCCTTGATTTGATCCGAGTAACCTAGAAAAATACATCGAATCGCCTTCTTGGTCATCTTGGTCCTGTTCGACTTGTCGACATGTGCATATCCCTTTGATCCAAATACACACATCTCGGAGAGGTCAGGCTTCTTCCCGAAGATGAACTCAAATGGAGTTTTAGTCGGGTGACTAGCACATGGAACTCGGTTTGTCACATAGACTGCCGTGTTCATCGCCTCAGCCCACCAAATTTTATCCACTTGCATATGGCTGAGCATTGCTCTGGCCCGCTCTGTCAGTGTCCTGTTCATGCGTTCGGCCAGCCCATTCTGTTGTGGCGAATAGGGTACCGTCGTCTGATGCATGATACCAGATTTTCGACATACACCGGAGAAACGTCTGTTGACGTATTCCGTCCCGTTGTCCGTCCTGATACACTTGATCTTCTTGGACAGTTGATTCTCCATAAGTGCCTTATACTCTATAAAGCGATCCGTCACTTCCGACTTGTTCTCAATATAGTATGCGACTATATATCTCGAATAATCATCAATAAAAGTCACGACAAATCTTGATCCTCCTCGAGACTTCGATTCCATAGGTCCCATGACATCACTGTGGACCAACTGCAACACCTCCTTGGTTTTCACGTGTCCGTATGGTGACTTCGGAAACGTCTTGACGGTTGCTTTACCCATGATGCACCCTTCGCAGATCTCGATATCATCTTCAACGCCTTGATTCTTCTTGATCTTTAATCCATTGACGCAACCTGCCATACCCTTGAGCATCTTCGTTGACAGGTGACCTAATCTTGCATGCCACACTTGTAGATCAGCCGCTCCTGATCCGTCACTTGATTCTTGCTCTTGAGATGTCTCTCCGCAAACGTTGGCTACCTCAGCCGGACTGCACTCTAAGACGTACATCTTGTTTCGTCTTGGTATTTGGGCAACGACTTCCGTGTTACTTCTGATCTGACAGCTCAGATCTGAGAAGATCACTTGTAGACCCCTCTTTGACAATGCCGATATTGACAGTAGCCGTCGGTCTAGGCCCGGCACCCATAGCGTTTCTTCGATCCTGATCACTTCACCAGTCTTGAGTTGCACGCGCACTGTCCCAACACCTTGCGCTTCCACTTCGCTGCCGTCTGCTATGGTGATCATGATCGGGTCCGTCAGTGAGTTTAAATTCGAAAACTCATTTCTGTCGGGACACATGTGGCTGCTTGCCCCACTGTCCAATAACCATCCAGCTGACGTCCGACTTGACGCAGTAAATGCTCTCTCTTCTCCAGATCGCTCTGTCTCCACTTGTTCAGCCTTGCAATCTTGACGCTTGTGCCCATATTTGTTACATCGGTAACACCTTCCCGAAAACTTTTCACCTCTTGAACTTGATCTCCCCATATGTCTGCGCGGACCTTTCTTGTACTTGGAAGTGTGCGTACTTTTCAGTGCGATTTCTTGGTGTTCTGTCCTCGCCATTCCATCGTACTCCCGTCTCAGCATTTCCTTAGCGTGAAACAGTGTCATTCCGGGCATGTTCTCAATTATCTTGACGATAGGGTCATAGTCTCTCGTTAGACTACCCAATAGGATGACCAAATGCTCATCCTGTGAGATCTCTTGTCCCACAGCTTGCATAGTCATGCACAGCTCGTCAAATCTCAGGAAGTGATCCATGATGCTTCCTCCCTTGGCCAACTTGAACTCATGTAGTTGCCGCCGCAACTGCACACGATTGTGCATACTTTGCCGCAGGAAGAAAGTCTTCAGTATGTCCCATGCTTTTGCCGTTGTCTCTGCCGTGCGCACCATTGACTGAAGATTTGTGCTGATCATTGTGGACACAATCGCGAAGGCCTTCATGTCGTTGACTTTCCAAGTTGACGCGCTTGCGTCTCCTTCTTCTGGGGCCTTCATAGCGTCTAGGTGCTCTAGCAATCCCTTCTTTGCCAGCCTCATCCTTGCGTTGAACTCCCACACGAAGTAGTTATCTTCGCGGAGTATGTCGCCCGCATCCGGCGTAGTTGGGCTCATAACCTTTTGACTTTTGGCAACAGCCAAGAGCGAGTTGAGGTGGGAGAGCTTAGAAGAAGGTAAAATGGAAAGTGAATTATCATCTAGCTAGGTCCTTAGTTCGTCTCGTTGTACTACTCTAAGCCTATCGATATCGACTCTATAATATTAGTAACAAAACGATGAGTCGATCCCATCGTTACACACTATCACACAGTGTCGTCCATGACATATGGTCATTAGTATCAGTAACCAACACCGTTACCAATATCCCGACCCGAATCCATTCTGATCCAGGAGCCGTTTTGTGGTTGACAACGCACTGTTTGTTGCAAAATACTACTTCCTCGATATGATACTTCCTCGAAATACTACAATCTCTTGTATGCATTGAGCCCGTCTCATTCGATCGTACATTCACATGCTGCTATCCACCAACATCTGCGAGCACTTCCACTAGTGCACGTGGCCCTTTAACGGCGAAGCGGCTGGCATTCCAACTCGTGACCTTCGGCTCGATTTTCTTCTGGACCTACTCTCACTCCGCGATACCCGTGGCTGTGATGACGCTGGCCAGAAACATGCAATCAACGTCCGAGTCCTTCTGACTGTCCGAGTCTGCCACTTGTTTCATTCTGAGGATTGCGACTGCGTCCCGGCATTGCTAGTATCCGTCATGCCTTGCTAGTATCCGTCATGCCTATCGAGGGGAGAAATAGAGACGCGTTGCTGTTCAAACTCATCGTGAGTGCAATGTGTGTTGGGACGTTCATTCGTTCTGGACTTGACGTGTTCTGTTGCCTTGATGTGTATCTGCAGCAAAAACTCTCGCGCACAGTTTACTTGGTATAGATGTTTGACGCACATCATCGCGCATCCGGCATTTACATGGTTAACAGCTCTTTGGATCTACCCTCGACCTCACTTCATCGTCGTCCGCGTGTCTTACGCGGCCCTGCGCTGATCCCGATTGGCACCACATGGACGTATGTCAAGAGGTCGTGCAGCAAAGCAGCTCAATCTGACAGTCGTCTCCGCTACGGCAACAGACTTCGCAACTGTCTGGTGATGATGCGCGCACCCAGCTTGCTCGATTGCAAAAGTGGTTAGGCCATGCAGCCATGGTGATATTTGGCTCCGGAGATGCACGTGCTTGCGTCAGTTTTCTCCGAGACAGCGCATGCACGAATATGCGTTTCCAGTGCCGCCATGCAACAAGGTCTGAAGCATGAGCTGTCCTTTTCGCATGCAGCCTTCTGTGAGAGTGTTATCCTCTGTGTTGATGAACGCTGCTCACGATGGTTGACCGGATCAATCTCACTTCGTGTCCAATCTTTAAACCGAGCCATAGCGCTATGGACTATGCGTAGCACTCTTCACGATACACTTGCACGCGTCGAAATGCCTATACGCCCGACTCATGTGCAACGTCGAGTTCGGGCTTATTCAATCGACCGCTCTGAAGCACAGCGTATCCTATCATCGTACGCGTACACCACCACGAGGTCAGTCTTGCTGGACATCGTAAGATGAAGCAGGTCTGATACGACAGGAGTGGGATTGCGCCAAACGTCCGTGTGTGTCCCTTGTCAAAAGATTGGGATTGCTCCCTTTGGCTTTCATGACAAGACCAGGTCGTGATACAAGCGACCACAACTGATCGAAATGATGTAGTCGTCGTCCTGAGCACAGACGGTCGTGAACGAAGCCGCTTCACGAGAAATGTTGCAACAAACAGCTACGTAATGTACGGAGCACCTTTTCATTTCGATAGCCGCACATGCAGCGAAAATGCCACTGTCACTGCGAAGAAACCGCGTGAGTAACAGTCCTGGTCAACAACGACATGACCCAAATGCACCACAAAAACGATCCTTCAGCAGCTACATACACCAGAAGCCGTCGTCTGACTGCCGCAGTCTGACATAGAGTACTAATGCTCTCCAAATGCGCAGCCATGACAACCGATCCCGCTCGATCTTGCATGACGACGTGTCACCAGTATGCACTTGTGTGGTTGCGCTGACTGTTGCCACAAACCATCTGTACTGGTCTTGGTGTGCTCAAAGCGTTTCAGCCTTGAAGCCAGTCGTCGCGAGATAAAATGGGAATGGTCTCAGCATGAACACACAATGTGCGGTCCTGGAATCGCTTCCAAAGTACTCAACTCCTTCACACCAGCTAGGTAACAATACAAGCTCCGAGCAGACAAGCTCAGCCGGTCAATCGCTCGTGTTGACCTTCCAACAACGTCTGTGTCTCGTCATTTCTCGATCCGCTCGTACCCATCGACACCCTTCACCATTCCAACTTGACCCACGATCTCAGTTTCTCACGCACACACGATCACCACAGCAGTCAACAAGATGAAGTCCAACATATTGCAGCAGAACCTCCACATCGGCCGGCTCTGGTGAGTTCCATTCGTGCATTTATTCTCGCATCTCAATGGACTGAAATACGGATCCTCACTTGTCTGGTCACTTTTATGATGGACACTAGGCTATTCGCTACTGCATGTATCGCGCGCATCGTGTCGATGGTTTCAACTGCTACAAAGCGGTCCCTAGTCTACTGGTTCCCGAATGCGCACATCTCTCGAATCATCCAGTGCGCTCGTTTTGCATGGGGTTTCTCGACGGTTCCATTCGTCGACATGTTTCAGTTGATCCGGTACGGTGCAAAAGTAGTCGCACTACGCACGATTTGTCGTCGAACCGCACAGACGATGGACAACTCGCTTTGCATATTGCAAGTCGAAGCGAACCAAGAACAAACCGACGTGATCGCGTTCTCGCTGCCGACATCTTGCGCTCTACCGAAGTGTGTATCTGGAAGTCTTGATGACAAACAAGCGTCCCCGTCAGCGGAATGCACTCGCTCGCCCTCTGCTGCTGCGTTACCACTTCCGTCGCTATCGCGCGACAGTGCCAACCGTCTGGACGACAGCTATGACCTCCTCGCAAGTCAATGGACTCAAATGGTGACGGAGACACGACAATTCTACGCGCAGATTGCCAAGCTCCAGTCGTCGCTCGTGGGTCCCGACCCGAATCCATTTTGATCCAGGAGCCGGTTTTTTACTTGACAACGCACTGTTTGTTGCAAAATACTACTTCCTCGATATAATGCTTCCTCGAAATACTACAATCTCTTGTATGCATTGAGCCCGTCTCATTCGATCGTACATTCACATGCTGCTATCCACCAACATCTGCGAGCACTTCCACTAGTGCACGTGGCCCTTTAACGGCGAAGCGGCTGGCATTCCAACTCGTGACCTTCGGCTCGATTTTCTTCTGGACCTACTCTCACTCCGCGATACCCGTGGCTGTGATGACGCTGGCCAGAAACATGCAATCAACGTCCGAGTCCTTCTGACTGTCCGAGTCTGCCACTTGTTTCATTCTGAGGATTGCGACTGCGTCCCGGCATTGCTAGTATCCGTCATGCCTTGCTAGTATCCGTCATGCCTATCGAGGGGAGAAATAGAGGTGCAATGCTGTACAAACTCATCGTGAGTGCAATGTGTGTTGGGACGTTCATTCGTTCTGGACTTGACGTGTTCTGTTGCCTTGATGTGTATCTGCAGCAAAAACTCTCGCGCACAGTTTACTTGGTATAGATGTTTGACGCACATCATCGCGCATCCGGCATTTACATGGTTAACAGCTCTTTGAAACTACCCTCGACCTCACTTCATCGTCGTCCGCGTGTCTTACGCGGCCCTGCGCTGATCCCGATTGGCACCACATGGACGTATGTCAAGAGGTCGTGCAGCAAAGCAGCTCAATCTGACAGTCGTCTCCGCTACGGCAACAGACTTCGCAACTTTCTGGTGATGATACGCGCACCCAGCCCACCCAGCCCTACACCGACATTGCGATCAACAGCACAGCCATTATCGCCAACAGCATCGCCTACGTCACCAGCAATGACACCGTCAATTGTAAAAAGTGGTTCGTCGAGCTAAACAGTCATGGTAGTATTTGGTTCCAGAGATACACGTGCTTGCATCAGTTTTCTCCGAGACAGCGCATGCAAGGATATGCGTTCCCAATGCCGCCATCCAACAAGGTTTGAAGCAGTAGCTGTCTTTTTCGCATGCAGCCTTCTATGAGAGTGCTATCCTCTGTGCTGATGAACGCTGCTCACGTTGGTTGACCGGATCAATCTCACTTCGTGTCCAATATTTAAACCGAGCCATAGCGCTATGGACTATGCGTAGCACTCTTCACGATACACTTGCACGCGTCGAAATGCCTATACGCCCGACTCATGTGCAACGTCGAGTTCGGGCTTATTCAATCGACCGCTCTGAAGCACAGCGTATCCTATCATCGTACGCGTACATCACCACGAGGTCAGTCTTGCTGGACATCGTAAGATGAAGCAGGTCTGATACGACAGGAGTGGGATTGCGCCAAACGTCCGTGTGTGTCCCTTGTCAAAAGATTGGGATTGCTCCCTTTGGCTTTCATGACAAGACCAGGTCGTGATACAAGCGACCACAACTGATCGAAATGATGTAGTCGTCGTCCTGAGCACAGACGGTCGTGAACAAAGCCGCTTCACGAGAAATGTTGCAACAAACAGCTACGTAATGTACGGAGCACCTTTTCATTTCGATAGCCGCACATGCAGCGAAAATGCCACTGTCACTGCGAAGAAACCGCGTGAGTAACAGTCCTGGTCAACAACGACATGACCCAAATGCACCACAAAAACGATCCTTCAGCAGCTACATACACCAGAAGCCGTCGTCTGACTGCCGCAGTCTGACATAGAGTACTAATGCTCTCCAAATGCGCAGCCATGACAACCGATCCCGCTCGATCTTGCATGACGACGTGTCACCAGTATGCACTTGTGTGGTTGCGCTGACTGTTGCCACAAACCATCTGTACTGGTCTTGGTGTGCTCAAAGCGTTTCAGCCTTGAAGCCA